AAACCGCGTGGTTGTGTCCCACCCCCCCAAAAAACCACATCCCTGTGGGTGCCCCCGTGCCCCTCACCCTCGCCTCGTGCCTGCAGTAAACTCATAGCACAGGAATAAATTATGGGGGGGCGCAGCAAACTGGATTCTTTATGGTTTCCCAGAGCCATGAATGCAGATTTTATCACCCCCCTGGGAGGGCTGGAAGCAGGACAAGCCGTCGGGTGCTGTTTCCGCTCTCTCACGCTCCACCATCCCCTCCTGAGTCCCTCTGGAGAGGGGAAGAGCTGGGAGGGGTGGAGGGGTCACAGCCACACGTGTGAGCCACGTCCTGGATGTGTCTGCAATACGTGACACTGGGCAGGGTCCGGCTGGTGCCCATCTGGGCAGGAAGAGGGTGAGAAAGGACCCCAGGCTATCCCTCCCCGCTGTACCCCACGTGTTCTGGGGCTCAGAATCACCCCCTGCCCTCAGAGCCCACTGGGGGAAGCACCAGGATGGGGACACTGAGGCACGAGAGCCCCGGGTCCCCTGGCACGGTGCTGAGGGGCTCCAGGGACCCGTCCCCAACATCCCTCTGTCCCCCAGCACAGCACCCACACACCTCCAGGCTCTGCCCCTGCTTTTATTAGCAACCCCTCCCCATAGAAAAGTGCAAGATGAGGCTGGAACAAGCGGTGCCCCCCACCCCAAGCAGGGTCTGGGGGTTCTCTGTACCCTAACACTGAGAGCAGGGCGGGCGCGCGCCGCCCCCACCCTGGGGACGCAGCCCCCAAAGGTGATATCGAGGAAGAAGGGGAGGGGGGAAAGGCAGAAGAGGGTGGGCCCCAGCCTCTCCTTGTCCCCCCAGTGACCCCAGCCTGGCAGGAGGGGCGTCCCCCCCTCAGTGGTCGCTGAAGCCGGGCATGGGGAAGGCACGAGCGAAGGTCTCGACGCGCTGGCGAAGGTCGCTCAGGCGCCGCTGCGTCTCCGGGTCCTGCAGCAGGAAGGTCTTGAAGTCCTGGAGCTTACCTGGGGGTGGGGAACAGCAGGTGAGGAGGAGCAGGTGAGGAGGACAAGGCTCCAAGGCAGCCCCATCCCTTCCCAGGCACCCACAGCAGGGCTGGCACCAGTCTGGGGAGCAGGGCTGGCACCTCAAGGGGAAAGGGGCTGAGGGGCACCCAGGAAGGGGGAACAGGGGGAGAAGGGTCCCCAACACTCACTGGTTTTGCTCTTGACGTCCAGGGCCAGGGCGATGCCCTCGTCAATGAACTCCACGACCTTCTGGAAATCCTCCTCGCGGAAGTGGCGGGAGGTCAGAGCAGGGGCACCTGGGGATGGAGCCCATCAGGGACAGAACCGCTGTGGGGGCACCAGCCCCACAAGGAACTCCCTGAATCCCAGCCCCACACGGAGCTCCCAGCTCCTCTCCACATCACCCCAAGTTCTGGTCCCTATGGGGTCCTGCCCCCTTTCCCAGCCAAAACAAGCTCTGAATTCCCCTTTTCCTCAGAGAAGAGTGAAACAGAGTGGGGTTCTGTGGGGTGCAAACCTGGGGACTCCCACCCCAGGGATGGAGCCTTGCCAGGGCCTGTCCCTCACCGAGGCGCAGCCCCCCGGGTGTCAGCGCGCTCCTGTCCCCCGGGCATGTGTTCTTGTTGGCGGTGATGGACACGAGCTCCAGCACCCGCTCTGCCCTCGCCCCGTCGATGCCCTTGGGCCGCAGGTCCACCAGCACCAGGTGGTTGTCAGTGCCACCTGGGGAGCAAAGGACGAGGGTGAGGAACCCTGAGCACCCCCAGACCCCTCTGCCGCCCCTTTCCTGCTCTGCAGTGCTGCCTCTGTTCCGCCTCACCCCCACTCCTCTACCCCCTGATCCTCCTGCACGCTCCACTGAGAGCGAGCGGAGCCGCCTGTCCCCAGCACGGCTCATCCCTGCCCATCCCCAGCCGGAGCTTTACCTGACACCAGGGTGTACCCACGCTGCAGCAGCGCCTGTGCCATGGCCTTGGCGTTCCTCAGCACCTGCTGGCAGTACTCCCGGAAAGCCGGGGAGCTGGCCTGGGATGGGGGACACCCCATCAGCACAGGGGGGACAGCTCACCCCCCGCCCCAAGCCCCCCACCCCGGCACAGACCTGT